GCGACATACGTGTATCAAGCAATGACATACATGTATCTAGCAATGACATACATGTATCAAGCAGTGACATACATGTATCAAGCAGTGACATACAAGTATCAAGCACTATCAAAACTGAGAGAAAACTTAGTAAACCTTAAGACAACTGACTCATCTCCCGACTGTTACACATGTCAATCAATTATGGCACATAGGAAATCCATAAGGACCACAACATATGTTTCATCTCCAGTTAGCCGCGAATCATTACAAAATTGAGTAGCAAAATCAAATAGGAGATACAGACGTATTGTGCTGCATAACACGTACGAATTAAATTGAAGCCTGGACAATGTCATTGTTTTCCAGTTATTTTGCAAGAAGATAGGATTATTACATAATTCTGGCATAAAAATGTGCAGTACTGATCGAGAAAGAAACATGATATTTTGCGCGTGGTATTAAACACATGACAATGAATAAAGTGTATGCATTTTTCCAAAACCTGAAAACGTCCAGCATGAAACAAATGTTTAAATGTTTCTCCAAATAAGACACAAATGGTTTCTAATTAATCGTGCTCTGAGAAATGAATTGTAATCTAAGCAGTACTTGTTAAAGCTGCTATCCACATATAATATATCACGTTTGCTAGCTGAGGGTCATCGAAACACTTGGTTCACACCAATGTAGACCAAAGTGATTCGATGATCCTGAACTAACGAGTGATTTTTCGTGCGGTAATATTGTAATATACAATGACCATAATCTGAATAACAGTATAATTCAACATTTAAATAACAATACAATAATAATACAATCTACGGATTCAATATGTAGTGGTATTAGGGTCCCTGTCTGCAGCTATTGGTATATCAAGCACATGGATAAAACGTTAAGATGTCTATCTTTAAAATAACTACTGCAGCTTAATGTATACTCCAGTTGTATATAGAGGCAGATAGGGAGCCTGTTTATAACTATAAATTCCAAGGATTGCTGAGAGTATTAGTAACGCACTCAGTTTGCGCCCTGTATAACTGTAGCAGTTAAAAAGAAACAGGGAAGAATTTAGATTTGCGTCTTACGGTATAGCAACACAGGTAGGTCATTTACAGCTGCGACAATTGTAGCAAGGGATTGTACATAAAAGACGTCCGCATATAATACATGTTTTCCTAAAAGAAACCACGCACCCACCCACCCCCGACTGCAGAAGTCCCCATCTAGCAAGACTGATATGAGAGCTATGCAATCAACCCCATCACTGAGAGCCAGCTCTATATATTAATGTCAACCCATTTATACACATTCTGTGGCACGTATCGTACAAATTGAAATTAACAAATAATTTATAATTATGGACGACCCATAAACGACGTCCGCAAAACATACACGCATTAGACCCAAAGCAGCTGTTCAGCACAGAAAATAAAAATAACAAAAAATACTAGCTTGCAGACGTCAGCAAAGGTCCTTTACACCCCCTCTTCCTTGTCCACATTTGTCCGCACTTGAACCAACTCCCTTCCGCATCTTTGTGGTCGTCCTTTATTGGTGCTCCCTAAAGTGTCATTCTCCTTTGCACAATAAATAGCCGAAACAGGCCAATCAGATAGTAGGATTTAAAACCAGACCGTTTCCGTTGCGAGTCCGGAACCCTAACAACAAGTTACCGCGGCTAGGTGCCCAGATTATTACATATGGGCCCATTGAATATTAAGCTCGTAGCAGAGAAAGAATGAAAGAAAGAAAGATTTTATGAACAAAAGAATGATTTAAAAAGGATTTTAAACACAAGAAACGGTTGTGTGGAATGGGGACTATTCTAATGTTTAATTTTAAATTAATTTTTTGCATTTTTTTGTGCTTATATTTTTCATAACACCCAATCGATCAACGAGCTGTGGGGGAATTGTTGTTTAGTTCTAATAACTGCAACACATTAAAAGCTACAAAGTGCCAAGGCGATGGGAGTAAAGAGTCTTGTCTAGAGACAATCCGCATCAACTATCATCAACCGTCGAAGGCTGATATGGGCAGGATTCGAACCTGCTACCTTGTGCCGAATGAATATATATATATATATATATATATATATATATATATATATATATATATATATATATATATATATATATATATATATATATATATATATATATATATAATTCTAACAATTCCTATCAAATAAGAAGGCACAAATATATGACTGGAGTGGTCTTGGCATTAACAAAATAAAGAATATATTTATATGTGTATGGATCTGCCATTTCACAAGTACGTATTTTACATCTCGACTACACCCTTTGTTTTTCAAGTAAATATATAAGATCTTTATGGATATTTTCTAACCAGCTTGGTCTAATAATCTCAAAGTACAAGCGCTCAGCTTTGGACGGTAATGTAGCAGGACCGTTGCTTGACGAAAGAAGTTTTCTTTTCTCACGTCACAGAAGATTTAATATCAATGCTCATTATTTCATTTTACGAGGCAATCATTATATTATGTTAATATTGACAGAAAGCCATTAATAACTGTATGACGTCCTCCTCCATCAAGGACTTCAGAGCTAAACCGTTTATAAATAACATCAATTTTAAAAATAGAACAAATGGGATTTTTTGAAATAAATATTACGGTGCTGTGGCAACTACAGTTATTACAGTAACGTCTGAAATATATTGTGGCATGGTCACGTAGAATAATAAGGCAAATTGGTCATTTAGGATTGCATGGTTAAAATATAATACCTCCTCCCCCACCCCAATAAAAAGGTCAAATTCCTGACGGTTTTTCATATGTCAACCTTCATCTAACAATATATCTGGCTGCCAATTATACAACATTAGAAATATCTTACAGATTCCATAGCATTATTATCAAATTCACATTTTTTTCCTACTAGCTGTTTGGTGCTATACGATAAAAAAAAAACGTGAGGAATGCGTTTGTAGTATATAACTAAAGCCAACTTACTGAGAAAATTACTTAAAAGCATATTTTTTAAAATAAAAAAGGGTTTATTCACGTTATTTAACAAAATCATGATAAAGCATATCAACAAATATCTGATCCGCACTTAAACCAAAAATTTTAAACTAAGAAGAACGCTACATACCACAATAAAAGTTTGATTCCCTGCGAAAGAAATTACTTTTTACTGAATTATCGTTAATGTGGATACATTGTAACGAAATCTTAAATATTCGATTGAAACAAAATCAGTGATAAGTCATGAAAAGCGATTCTCTTGTGATGTGATGTATTTACGTTCCGGAAACATTTGTCTTGATAAAGTGCATTGCAAGTGTTCTATAGAAATTATGTTTAATGTTTTCACCAAGAAATATGTGCTTAATGAACAAAAGACAACAGCAAATAAACTAAATTAGATTTAAAACTCATGCTGTTATATGCATCTATACACCCACTTTATCAATTGCGAAATATGTCAATTATCACTCTACACTGGAAGAAGTAGTACAGAAACAGAAATATCAAAACCACTTATAAATGGACTAATGAATTTGCTTATTAAATTTTCTTACAGGGATACGATAATTCTGGACCACTCATAATTTAAGAACAGTAAGACCAGGACTCTCTAGACCGCAAACTTAAGCGTGTATTCCGTAAGAGATTACAGCCAACAGAGAGAACATAAAATCAATAAATGATACAAAGTTGTGTGCCTAGTCACGTGGTCCATATGTCCCTACCCCTGGATCAGAAATTTCCACGATGCTGAATATAAGTAAGCAATAATTGGATTAATATAAAGCTCAAGAATTAACAATGATTAATTGCAACATCATATTTTATCTTTACACGGAATTTATCCGCACACAACAAATACAAAAATAAATAACACGTTGGGAAATTAATTCCATAACTGTCTTTATAGACTGAAACATCAGACTTTTTACCATCATTATACTAAACATTTAAACTAATAATAAATTGAGTTGTTTAACTGCATAGATACTACAACGCAAAAAGACAGGCAAACAAATTGCAAATTCAACAAAACGAAAAAGACCGTGAAAAAAAAGAAAAGAAAACAAAACAAAACAAAACAACACCAATTATAGTATGTCTGTATCAAGTATGTTCGGTAGCGTATAAATGTTGTATTTCAAATTGTGAAGTCATCTTGGTCGTGGACAAACCCTTTCTGTTCAGAGTGTGAACCGCCTTCGATTAGATTTAAATATGCTCATTGTTTGATAAACTTAAAAGACTGCAACATTTATCTGGAGATCAAGAGCAAATGATCCGAAAGTTATCTACCACACAAGAAGAAAGGGTTATGAGAGACTACAAACAAACTGTCCAAATTGCTTTTACCGGAAGCTTTAAAAGCAGAACTCACACATTTTGACAAAATATTTAGACAAATAATTAAGGATGATAAAAATTAGGTCGAAAAATATAACATGATAGTTTGGAATTATTATTTAGACATATCAATAATTTTTATTTTAAAAAATAATTTTTACAAGTTCATGTAGTTCATTTACAAGTTTAAGTGGTCAGTTATTTAACTTTGTCAAAATTAAATCGAATTTGCTAAAATTTACTAAGTATTTGGTTTGATGAAGCCAAAACGGCATCAGCAGCACTGACAGGAATCATTGGTGACATGATAATATGGTTTCTTAATAGTGCTGACCAAATTGTTTCTTTCTTTGCTGAATTTAGGATGTGTTTAGGATTTTGCTTCTTTACGTACAAGTAGGATTGTTGCTTAATTATTTTACATCAAAATTGTGTGTGTGCGTGTGTGTGCGTGTGTATTTGTGTGTGTGTTGGAATTTTAACGTAGCTTTAACAATTTTCCAGTCATATCGCTACGATGTCTGCAGTAAGACAGTTTATAATGATGTCTAACACTGGGGCATCATGTCCTACCCAGTCACGTTATCCTGACACCAAGCCGACCAGTCATAATGATAAGCTCGCAATGATGAACGCCAAACGAGGCAGCTGCTACTGCCGTTTTTATATGTTTTTGGTATGACTCAGATGGGGTTCAAACCCGCGACCTCTCGAATCCGAGTTGGACGCTCTAACTACTAGGCCACCGGTATACAGTTTGTAAACTAAGCCACTAAGTAATATTGTACAGTTTGTGCAACCGTTGATTTCAATATAAATGATTTTGGGGTTGGGGGATTGGGAGATCGTGTTCATTATTTAAATTGTTCATTTCTAAGTTGACATGGTGTCTTATGAATATCCCATAAGTGTGACGGTAAGCATACTAAAAAAATCCTCCTTCTCCATTCCTTCATTTGTTTTTACCTGCTCTTTGAAATTTTGTCATTGAAAATTTCGTGTTGTCCTGTCTTTGGACAATCATGATGTATTTTTAATCTGTGTTGTAATCTTGATCATCTAAATTAGTTTAATTAGCCTGTAACTGCGTCTGATACTGTCGAAACAGACTGTATAGTGGTGGTTGCATTTATTCACTTGTGCAATTAGATACAGATCACGTGATATAATGCTAGGCTTCAATTAAACTATTCACACACCTGACGTACCATTACTATCTTGCTAATTTTTCACACGCCTGTCAGACCATTACTACTTAACTATTCACGCACCTGTCGTACCATTGCTATCTGGCTAATTTTCACACACCTGTCGTACCATTACTAACTTGCTAATTTTTCTCACACCTGTCATACGTTTACTATCTTGCTGATTTTTCACACGCCTGTTAGACCAGAACTATATTGCTATTCACGGACCAATACGAGTTTAATAACTATTCACTCAATTATCAGACAAATGCTATATAACTATTCACATAGTTGTCGGACCATTTCTGTGTTGCTAATTATTCACATATCTATCATCACTCACCTGTCAGACAATTACTTTCTAACTATTCACACACCTGACGGACCATTATTGACTTGCTGACTATTCACACACCTGTCAAACCATTACTATATTGGTAATTATTCACACACATGTAGGACCATTTATATCTTGCTAACTGTTCACTCACCTGTCAGACCATTATTGTCTTGCTAACTATTCACACACCTGTCAGACCATTACTATCTTCACTAACCTGTGAAGCAATTACTATCTATTCACGCATCTCTCGGACCATTACTATGTTGCTAACTATTAAAACACCTGTCAAACCATTACTATCTTGGTAACTATTCACTCGCCCATTAGACTGTCACTATCTAACTATTCATACACCTGTCAGACCATTAATAACTTGCTAACTATTGACACACCTGTTGGACTGTAGGTGTCTTACTAACTATTCACACACCTGTCAGAACAATACTGTCTTGCTAACCTTTCACACACCTATCAGACTATTACTAACTATAAACACACCTGTCGGACCATTACTGTCTTACTAACTCTTTAATCACATGTCGGACTTTTACTATTTAACTATTCACACACCTGTCGGACTATTACTATTCAACTATTCACACGTCTGTCGGACAATTAGTGTTTTGATAACTATTCACACAAGCCACGCTATTAACATCTTGCTAAAAGAAGTAAGTCTCTTTACAAATTTTTCTCTTTCACATTTATAACACTTGCAACTTCTAATTGTGCTTCGAGTACATGCAATTTTTATACTTGGTACATCAAAACAAGACTTCGTCGGCAAGATCAAATGATGATTGTACAATTTATTTAAGTAATTTAACTTTAGTTACAACTAAAGGTCAAATTAAAAGTATGAAAAAGGTTTGTTTTTAAAATATATACATCTACAAACTGAGAAAGGTGTAATATATATATATATATATATATATATATATATATATATATATATATATATATATATATATATATATATATATATATATATATATATATATAAACAAGCTGGAAACATCCTTCCAATATCCATTTATTTGGATGAGTTTTGTGTTAATTCTTTGTTATGGAAGATTGTATGGATAAGGTAAAACGACATGTGGTAAACAATTTATATAGGGAAATTTATTGTCGGGTGAGTATTTGTGCTAATCGACTTGACACCTTATTTTGAGTGCTGTAATAACTGCATCAAAATCTATTTAATTTTCATTATCCTTTACTTTGTTCAAGATATCGTATACCAGCTTTTAGTTTTTTACATTGTATTTGTGGGTTTTTCTACTTTTTATTTAGATCTAGTGAGCATCAACAACATATTTTTTTAATGTTATCTCTTTTCATTGCTTATGTGTTGTCACTAATTTCCCAGTAGTGACATTGCATATTGTTATCTATATTTAATTTGCATTGTTTATTAGATTTTTTGTATTCATTATGTGCTTTGGGTAAATGTATCTTGGACTTGACTTTGTCCAAATCAAGTTCATTTCCTGTTTGACCTGAATCATTGATGTTTTTGTTTAATTTATAAACAACTAATAAATAACTAATATTTTTCTATGATTATGAGTTTAATATTAGATAATTATTAATAGAAGTAAACTAATTTTTTTTAGTGTTTCAAGGACATAATTTTTCATGTTCTTTATTTTAATTTTAGTAACAAACTTTCTAAATATAACTAAAATTTTATTTTTTAAATTTTGGAAATTACCTGAATGAATTTTCCATTAGGTAATATATTTTTTTCAAGTAAATTTTAATTGGGACATGAGGTTAGGTAGAGAATTATATACCTTTTTTCTGGAATAAATGTTTATCGTGCTGTAAAAAATGAGCAGAATCAGCTGTATTAATGTCGTATCCAGTATTTCATTTGGGCTGGAATTTATTTATTCAGCTATTTGTTAACTGGCAATACAAGGTGCTTAACATCTATATTCTTGGAAAGCGACACTGACTGGGATTTATAGAAAATTCAAGGATATGTTTTTGGATAGTATTATTATGATCCAACAAAAGACTTTTGACACATCACCACTACATGGACCACCACAGGCACATCAACACTACCAGCGTTGGATTTAATTAGGAATATCACTGCAGTTTATCCAGAACTTTAAATATTAGGACCTGTGTTAGAAATTCTATGATTATTTTGGATTTAATATTCGCAATATGGTAAGTAGACCTTTACATTTTCACGTTTTATAACGGGAAATAAATTATTTGTTAAATTTTACAAAACTTGTTGATTCTCTCTCTCTCTCTCTCTCTCTCTCTCTCTCTCTCTCTCTCTCTCTCTCTCTCTCTCTCTCTCTCTCTCTCTCTCTCTCTCTCTCTCTCTCTCTCTCTCTCTCCAATTTATGAACCACCGAATGACCTAACAGCTTTAAATATATGCTAGGATAACGTGGGTTTGTTTTACGAAGCAAACATACAGGTTGATACAGTTCATTGGCGCCCGCAGGATTTTGTGCAGCGGGCGGGCGGGTGGGTGGGTGTCAGTAACGGCCGAATGAGTTAGTATAAGAAGCAGTCTGAAACTAAGCCAATACATTGTTTTAATCTACTACGCACTATATTATCTACTGTTCATACTATTTCATACTGAATGAATTTTGATCACCGAATATGCTTCAACCGTTGTTCACTTAAAGATATAAACAGATGCCGAGCATTTTTTATTAAATTGATTTCTATATTATCTATCTTTTATGCATTTACTATTCATTATTACATTGATCATTGATTGTTATTATTAATTACGTTTCTTGTATGTAACTAACTGTTAAATTTTAGCCTACTAACTGCTAAATATAATAAACGGATGCGGAAGGTCGCGATTTCGAAACCATTGCCGAGTCATACCAAAGACTTGTAATAATGGTGCTAACAGCTGCCTCGCTAGGCACTCGTCCTTAAGAAGTTAGTGTTAGAACTGGTCGGACTGGTGTCTGGATAATATTTCCAGGTGTGAAATCGTGATACATGTCTGCGGTATGATGTCTCAGTACTAGACATAACAAGGGCAGTAGAGTGCGATCGCGGACCATGGGGAAAGTAACATCCAGGCCTCATCTAGTTCTTGTTCTAAAAAAATTTTCTTTATAAAATTAAAAAGTTGTTCAGCTCGGGCCCCCTTACGGCCCCGGACTCCGGGGATATATCTCCGATTCCCCCACCCCGGTAGGCCATGGACATCACTATAAACTGCCACAATGCAAACATATTAACAATATGACTGAATGTTTTTAAAGCTACGTTAAAAATGCAAATCACACACACACACACACACACACACACACACACACACACACACAGAGTCACGTAGAAATTACAGCCAAAACAGGGAGGACTCACGCACGTAACGGACGGGAAAAGACTGATTTCTGTATACTGTAAAAACGATGATATAAACACACAAAAAGGTCAAACAAGATGCATAATACTAGCACAGAATTTTCCAGAATCCAGGGTTGCCTTTTCCGTTAATCATTTTTTTAACAAAATGTAAATAATCGTTGTTTCAGTATCTAGTATTCCCACTACTCCTGAATCTGGCGAAAAACTTCAAGCTTTGTCAGAATCTCCGTTGCCAAACTTGTGTTTAGCTACATGGCGTCTACAACTAACTTATCAGCTAAGTTGAAAGCAGGCCAGAGTTGAAATCTTTCTATAATATCTGATATCTGATGCATATGTATGTATGTATGTATGTATGTATGTATGTATGTATGTATGTATGTATGTATGTATGTATGTATGTATGTATGTATGTATGTATGTATGTATGTATGTATGTATGTATGTATGTATATATATATATATATATATATATATATATATATATATATATATATATATATATAGAGAGAGAGAGAGAGAGAGAGAGAGAGAGAGAGAGAGAGAGAGAGAGAGAGAGAGAGAGAGAGAGAGAGAGATTAAATGGTCAATGTGAGCTGATATACTTTTCATTGCTTAATGCATTTTGTTGCATATAAGACAAGTTTATAAAACTTATACGTATTTGATCACGTGATTTAATTCGCCTTGCAAACAAAAAGCTCTGCCTACTCCTTGGTATACAGTATATATTTCTGTGGAAAACGGGAATATGGACTTAAGAAAACTTGAAATGAGTGACAGGAGAGCTTGCATTATATCATCAAATCAGGGACTTGGGACTTATGAAAACTTTTAATGTTTGA